TTATTTTGAGCTATTTCAATTAGAGATGAAGATTTTCCATTGTTTCAAAAGCTTTCAGTCTATCTATTTTATTGGTTGTATTTGTGACTTCAAATAAACTATAGATACAGTTTACTGGTGATAAATCTAATGATGATTCACACAAAAAGAGTTTAGACAGTAAAAGTTTTTCTTACTTAATCAGCCTGTGGCTTCATTTTTGTTTCAGTTGGTTAATCACGGTTACTCGATATAAAAAGGCAATTTTCCCCTAATGCATATTCATCAATTTATCGATTGTTTAAAACATAACTAAATCGAATGAAAACGTTTTATGCAAGGCAAACTACAGAGTCACAGAATATACAAAATACATTGTGTTCGATTCACCAATCAACTAAATACATACTTAATGTACAACTTTAACTATGCCCAAAACCAATTTTCTGGGGGGTTGTTTTTTTTTCAGAGTTTTCAGTTGTTTTGTTACTGAGGATCAGTATTAATTTGGATTTTCCTAAAATTTCTAAAGCGATATTAAGATGGTGGAGAAAATTTGTTGCTCAGATGGATATAAAGCGGTATTTAGTTTGATTCTTTTCAAAATTATTAATGTAGATTAGTATAGATGATAGATTAAGCCTTTTTTTTTAAAAAATAATATGCATTCAAATTAATTTGCATTATTACTTCTTTTTAAAAAAAAGAATCGGTTCGGGTAAAATAAAGGGTTTAGTTTAACAACGATAAACAGTCATTACAAGATATTATCAGTCAATTATATCTGCAAGTTAATATCGTATCATTTAAAAGAGAAAGGATTGTACATGTTAAATGATTAATGAATGAATCTAATTTTTAATTATTAAATTATGAAATTAATAATTTATCGTTAGAAATAATTCATTTAGACTTAAATTGTTTGATTGTTTAATGATACACTTTCATTTATACCTACAATTGCTTTGAATTGAACCATAATACTGTAATGTGATATAATTGTTCATAAATATTTCTGGAAATAAATAATATTTTTACTTACTTACTTACTTACGCCTGTTACTCCCAATGGAGCATAGGCCGCTGACCAGCATTCTCCAACCCACTCTGTCCTGGGTCTTTTTTTCTAGTTCCATACAATTCTTGTTCATTTTACTCATGTCTATTTCCATTTCTCGGCGTAATGTGTTCTTTGGTCTTCCTCTCCTCCTCCTTTGGCCTTGAAGAATTCCATGTGAGAGCTTGTTTTGTGACGCAGTTGGATGCTTTCCTCAACGTGTATCCTATCCACTTCCAACGCTTCTCCCTGATTCATTCCTTCACTGGGATCTGGTTTGTTCTCTCCTACAGTAGGTTGTTGCTAATAGTGTCCGGCCAATGGATCTGAAGTATTTTGCGTAGACAATTGTTAATAAACACCTATATTTTCTGGATGATGGCTTTCATAGTTCTCCAGGTTTCTGCCCCATACAGTAGAACTGTCTTGACATTTGTATTGAAAATTCTGACCTTGGTGTTGGTTGAGTTGTGTTGTTTTGAGTTCCGAATGTTCTTTAGTTTTAGATATGCTGCTCTTGCTTTGTCGATCCGAGTCTTCACATCTGCATCAGATCCACCCTGTTCATCAATGATGCTGTGCAGATATATAAAGGTTTTTATATCTTTCAAAACTTCTCCATCACGTATGATTTGATCGGTGCGTGTTGTGTTGTGTTGTATCGGAGAGTCTTGTTTTCCCCTTTGTGTTTGTTGAGACCTACGAATTAGAGTTTAGTTTTATGAAAAACATTGCAGGAACGGGTATTTATATTATAAAACTACGATTCCATTATGTAAAGCATGTTGGTTAAACCACTTGAATATTGAATCAGGAAAAAAATGAATATCTCAACAGAATAACATGAATTCATTCATTTCGTGAATTCTTCTCAATTTGTTTACAATTTTACATGTACATTTAATAGTACATACGTCGAAAGAACAGAAAGGTTGGTTTGTGTCCACATCTCCGATACCATTTCACGAATGTTGAGGCTTGACGAACAGAAGGTTTTCAACAGTGCAATTGCTTGTCATTTGCTTAACAGTGGGCATGATGTTGAGGTTGCGAAGTATTTCAAATAATCAATAACCAAAGGGAATTCGAAATTATTACGCTTTAAAGAAGCGGTTCTAATAAAATTTTTAATCTGATTCATACATCCAACAAGAAACAGTTGTAAATCTTGTTTTAACCTAGTGACCTGATTTTTGTGAAATCATTAGGCAAGATATTTTTCCATAAACTTTCGAATAACATATGTTTTGCTTCTGGGCATTATTCAACTGGTCTATATTATCAATATAGGGTTGCAAGAATTGTTCGGTTGTGATCGAACTCATGAACCGATCAATGTTAAACCACCATTGAAAATTTGGAAGTATTAGACGGTCATTTCGTCCTAGTGCAAGTCTCCTTATCAGTGTGCATTCACGATTCTACATGCGGGACACGAACTCATAACTTTCGGTCTTGTGCACGAACGCTTAACTGCTTAATGCTCAACCTCTAGACTATCTTACACAAAATGTCTTCTGTTTCAAAAATTTTGTGTCCATACTTTCCTAGAATATTCATATATTTAATGTCTAAATCAGTGAATGTTTTAACAATGTTAATTCTTCCGTATTATTATAACTTTAATCGACTCATGAATTCAACTACTAAATTACTATAATCTCCACGAAATCCCTTTCCGAGAATAAATATATTTTCTAGAGTTTCAAGCAGTTGAGGAGAATGAGTTCATGTGACTCTGTTAAGATATTCACCTATTCTTTAACCAACATGTTGTACATTATAGACTCATTGCTTCATAGCATAAACAAAAGTTCTTGGATTGTTTTTAGCAAAATAAAAGTCGTATGCAAATCAACATGATTGATAAACTTAAATTACTATTAAAAATCGTAAGAACTGTTTGACCTTTTAATCTTGATAATTAAGTTTCAGCTTCAATTACATCAGCTTATTCAATTGAGCAGTTTTACTAATGTTCCGTTGCTCCCTAAGCTTACTAAATGATTTTGATCTGTATTAATTAAATGGAGTAGTGTTTCCATGGTAAAAATACTCAACTTTTAATCGTAATGAAATGTTACTTAGAGCTTAGCAATATAAATCTATTTTGCATAACTAAATGAACCCTATCTGGTAATAGATCCTTGAAAAAAATAATAAATTTTTAACAAATGTCAGTTATACACTAATGATTGTATTTATTATTATTTTTTCTATAATTTTGTATTTTCCAAATAGGATGATACAATACTCATTAGAATTCTTTTAGGATATACTTTCTATTCCTTTTTCAGACATATATTTGTTCTTGAGTACGTTTCTTCCCATTTAAGTGGTAATGATTGAATTAATTTTGATCTATTTACATGAACAAAGAAACCTTTTACAATAGTCATGTTTCTATTTCAAAACATTATAACAAGCAGAACTTATTGCAAAGAATTTTAGTGGAAAAAAAAGAGAACAGTTTTTTTTTATTTTTTAGGACAACAAAATTTTTTTATTGTGATTATTGATTAAATTTTATATTGCCATGGAAAATGTAAACAAGTTTGAAATGTCGACAATCCATTATTTTTTTCAATGTTTCAAGTGATTTGATGATTATAACCCATCGTACACATTTGATCAAACATAAAATCCTAGAGTAAAGAAGAAGAAGAATAATAAATAAAGCAAGAAATAATGAAATTGAATTAAGCAACAATAAATTCAGAAACATTGAAGAAATGTTTGTTCTAGATTTACAGTGTAAATGAGTAATTTTATTGTTGCCAAAAGCCTACATGAAGTAAGTAGTGATGATATTGCTCTAAAATGACAATGAAAACTCAAGAAATTTAAGAATACGAAAAGTGTATTTAATATTCTTTGGTCTAAATATCTTATTACGATAATAAACCATTGAAGCGATTAGTCCCTTTTATCAATTTTGATGGAACAATGAGAAGACGAGGTTGATCTGAAAAATGTGATTTATTTGCGAACAGTCATATAAAATGCCTTGATAAGTATATGTGTGATCAGATTGTTCGAAATGTATCGCACAAATACATCACATTTTTCAGATCAACTCCGTCTTCTCATTGTTCTATCGAAATAAACCATTAGCAAATTTGATCGACATAATAATCATTCAGTTTCTAAGTAGTTAACGATGAATCACTTGTCTATATCAAGAATTGATTGATCTGAGGATGAAGCTTCTGAAACAAATTATGATCTATAGAAGCCTTAAATTATAATCATTTAAAAATCATTAAATGTACTGAAATAGATTCAATCTATCAAATAATCGGAAAAACGACAAAATCAGAGAATATAGCAGTTAGACAACAAATGAATACGATGACAGTGTGATCATTAGCAACAATTAACTAATTTCTCTATCGACAAAACATGAGTTTAATCATGTCTGTAAAAAATATAATGGCTTACTGCTTTTCGAAGTAGTCACCTATAATATTATTAAAGGAGAAATCATTTCTATTATTTTCCCTGCAAATACTTTGTTAGTCGAATTAGTCATGGCACATATATATCCTCCCTTCTCAGATCGAATCGATTTTCTCGTTACAATTTAGAAGTTTATACAAGTGACTGATCAGTTTAAGAGTTTCCTGTCGTACATATCATATCAAAATGAAAAAAATAATATCAGAAAGATAAAGTTGAACGGTAAACACAATCTGAATTCTCAAATTAAGCAAATTAAATCTCAAGGGTTTTGTGTTTTCGTAGCAAGACGGTTTATCTGTGAAACTTTAAAGTATGTGCTGATGATGATTTATATAGAGACGTTAAAAGCTTTACAATTAAACCATCCAGCTTAGAGAATACAACACCTCCAAAATCATCGTCCTAAGCTATAAGTATTCTCTATCATCTCAGTAATTTAAATCTTTAATCTGTGAAACATCAAGTTAACTATATACCAGTATAATTTTTTTATAAACTTACTTTAACCATAATAAGAATAAAATGATTGATCAATTTTACGATTTTTTTTCTCAATAGTATCTTGATAAAACGGTGCTCTGTATGGTCGTAAATATGCACTGGGATATAAGAATCTTGATCGACTTGACCATAAACGTTCATATTCTGGTGAATAACTGTCAGGTAATTCCATTATTTCATTGTTTGTGCGCATACTCAGTGTACTGTTTACTAGTAAAACTAGAAAATAATCATAGAAAAATAACTCGTTATTGATTTATTGTGTATGGAAACTATTAAATTTAAAGAGCACATTATGTATTTACATGTTATACAAAATAAAATTTAGAAAAACGTTTATCTATTATATCGAATATCATGATCATTAACAAGTCGTAACGATTTGTTCTTGTCGATAGTTATTTCAGTAAACAGAAAACCCCACTTTAAGACATTAAATAAGAAGGATTGATTCGGCGAAGTGTTCACTTTTCGGCGAATCCATTTTCAAAGCTGTACAATTGCAAATACATTTACTTATATTTTTAGGATGATAATAATTACAATAATAATGATAATAAACTTCTGTTAGACATGATGACAGTGAGGTAGAATAAACAAAGGTAATAAATTTATTTTACCTGGGAAACTAATACTCATTTGATCATTAATGGCTTAAATATTCATCAAAAGATAGAAAGGGAAATTATCATTGGGAGATGGTGGCTCAGTATGATAACATAAAATGTTGAAATTGTGATTACATGTAATCAACAGGATCATTGAAACCGGAATAAACCAGTTAGAGATAGAAAATTTATGGAGGAGATGAAAGGGGAAGCAGAGTATGAAGAAGAATAATAATAAGACGTTAAGATCGTGTTAGAAGAAAAGGTTATACCAATCTCTTTTGGATACACATTTCTGGTTTTCCTAGGTGTATGGCTATCGCTTCGGCAATTCTAAGAAGATGCAATCTAATTGTCTTTGGAAGACTTCAATAATCAAACACCTTGTGAACACAGGTCACCCAATCAAGACAGATTCTGCACTCAAAGTGATCTACAAGGTAAGCCTGTTACTACTAAGAAATAGATCGGTTATGAAAATGTGATATTATTTGAATAACAGTTACAAATCAAATTTTGTTGGACACTAAAGATATGTAATTCTTTTTTTATAAATTGTATTCTCAAAACTTAATACTTTGTAAATGTTAATTTGGTTTATAATATTCATTTACTAAGCTTGATATAATGAATAGAAACAGACATCGAGTCAACATATTCCTTTATTATTAAGTCGTCTACCTATTGACTTCTAGAGATGATATTTTGCTTCTAAATGCTTTGTCTTCGTTATACACTTATGTTATTCTGCACTTATAAGTGATGTCCATATGATTGTATTCGGAAGAAATAGGCCATTGAAAAATATTTCATAAAATCATCGGGGTCTACATTAACTTTGTAAAATATTACGTCAATGTTTAGATGATACATAATTTATTTCTTAAACAAATTAGGTCCATTGTACAAGGATACGTACTAACTAACTGAGGTTGTAATATGTTATACATCCACAAATACAGTCCATGCAGAATTATCTGCTAAAGTCGAATTAAGCTTAGAAAATAGTACCTGTAAGCAAACTTAATTTTGGAATCCATCATAAGGGGGTTCTAAATGATAACAAAAATTTGTGATAGGAAACCATGACTAATCAAGTTAGAAATGAATAATCATGGGGTAGATCCGTTCATTTGCTTTTTTTTGTTATAAACAACTAGACATCCTTACAAATTTAAACAGTGATAATGTGTAGGTTTGCATAATGAAATACATTTATTCTATCTCACCGTTTCTCGACAACTGTTTGATATACTTTAGTTTGTAAAGTTTAAATAAACGTAACCAAAATTATAATAATCAAAAAGATAGGGATAAAAATATATGAGTAAGCATGATTATTATGTATTTTATTTTTTTGGAAAGTAATAATGTGAGGTAAAACAAGTGTTACAGTTAACGGTAATCATAATCAAAATAAAAGAGGTTATGAAGTGGTGGTGAAGTTATTATGTGATTGGGTAGTCACTCAACATGATAAAAAAAAATGTAAACAGTTGAATTCATTAGTCACTCTAAGCCAGACAACCATTAAAAATCTAGAAGCACTGGATGGCCGTTTTGTCCTAGTATGTGACTCCTCGACAGTCACATCCGCGATCCCGCCCCTCGGGATTTGAACCCAGGACCAGGCGAGATCGTGAATGCTCACTGCTGAGACGTCCCACAATGAAACGAAACGACCATTCAGTGCTTCCAGGTTTTCCATGGTGGTCCAGTTTTAATTGACTCATGATCTCAGCCATTGAAAGATTTGTTAGCAGTTAGATTAATAAGTATAATTTTCGCTTGTCTGCAGTTGATGAGAAACAGTGATAAAGAATAAATGCATTTTGTTCTCCAAACACCGTGATTCTTACTTTATTGAAATTGTTTTTTGTTTCTTCTGAGTCGTTATATTTACTCTTTGTTTGAGAAATATCATAAGTATAAAAAGCTCTAATGTGATTAAGTTGTTAGCATTACATCAATCATTTTACTATTTATCATGTTCAGTTCATTTTATTGTACAAATGTGAAATATGCTTTCTTGAGTGTTATACACAAATGTGAGTTAGATTTAACATTTTTCTCATTTTGTATTGTTTTCTTTCTGAAAAAATCTTTCTGTTGATGTTTACGACTGTAATTGATCAGTCTTTTATTGGCATATATACATCCCGTGTGTATTGCCTCAATATTGCCTTAAGTCAGCTGACAAATTTCCAAGTAAGACAAATCGCGCGTAAAACTGGATTCCATCACTAGCCGTCATCCACCTTTGCTCATAATATTAGTTATATATATATAAGTTTATTGAATTAAATCTTACCGTTTTAATAATTCTTTCAGCTTAATGCTGTTACCTACTACTAGTTCGATGTTACAGTGTAAAAAATAATCTGAGTCTAAATGACAATGAATTGTTCATAATTAATCTAAATTTGTCTTGTTACATTAGTCTTTTTATAATTACTTCACAATGATAAATAATTTTCATTTGATTTCAATGTAAAATCACAATAGTAATCTCTTAAATTGAGTCGATTTTATAGGTTTCTTTTGTAAAATTAAAACATACAATACAGTTAACTGGTCTTTAAAAAAATAATAAAATTCGGAAATATAACAGTAATAATAATAATAATAATATTGTTGTAGTAGATTAGGCATTTCCATTCTCTTACGAGAATAACTGTGGTTACCGGTTATGGCAATTACAAATAATAGTGTTTAGTAAACATGATATATATGTATATATGTTTCAGTTTTTCCATTTCCGACATATTACATTGACAAAAATCATTGTATGATTTGTCAATCATTGAAACTAATAATAATTTAAAAGGTTTCAACATCATTTCTATCAAAATAAACTTGAATGTGTTTTTTTTTTGTGTTGTACATTTATTTACTTCTTTAGTGATGTAGGAACAGAGGGCGGGGGGGGGAGAACAAGAGAAAATGAGGAACTTTTGTAATAATTTTTTTTTAACAAAAAATTTGTTTATTATTTTCTTTTTCTTGCAAAAATTACATTCAGAAGTAACGGTAGGGAGAAAAAAATCATTCTGAAAATGGTAATAAAGGAATATGTTTTAAATTCTTTAAAATAGGTTTGAAGTTACATTATTATTATTTTAGAAACGAATGGTTGATAATTGGAAGCAAATTAGTATTATGGAACTCTAAGGTCTATTGTGGTGTGTGCAACCTATGTCGACAGATATATGTAGTATGTAACACCAGTCGAAAGTGGAATCTCTAGCAGCAGAGGGTTAAGAAGTTCAAATAGAAGAGAATGGAAACAGAAAGTGATTGGTATGAAAACGAAGTAACAATCAAGTCTCAAATAATTGATGAACATTATGTAAATGAAGTATTGAACATGTTATTCATATTTTTTACAAATGATTACGTAATTTTGTACTTATATATATTTGATTGTGCCTATCTGTGTTCTCGTTCACAACACTATGCTTTCATGTTTAATAATACTTGCTTATAGGGCAAACAGGGACGGAATTTCATCAGACTTATTCAAGTTATTTAACTTCCGGTAAAATCCGCCGTAATATTGAATTATTTATACTATAACTATACTATACTATCCTATAACTAGATGGAATTGAGCAAATTCTTAGTATTAGACAAAATGATATCGGTTACTGTTGCTAAACGTTTATTTTATGTGAACATTATATTCAATAAACCTATTGTAAACCTTCAGATAATAATTCAAATCAAAGATTGAAAATAAATGGTCGATTTGAGGCAAACAAGTTCATTTGGGAAGTAAATAATATGCGGAGGAGATACAATTCAAATTAGATTTCAAGTGGATTCATCTTTGGTGGAGTAGGTAGAAGTCTCCCTAAAGTTTTTGCTGTTGATGTTGTTCAAAAGAACGATGAAAGCTTCACGACCAAACACCCAACTCAGAGAGAACAAAACTCCACCAAAATCATGCACTTGAGTTACAAATCTTCTTCATCATCTCGGATTTATCTTTCGTTTCGTTTTCAATTTAATCTTCCGTATACTATACATTTATGTTAATCTGCAGTCACATTCATTCAATATAACATGTGGCATTCGTTTTGTAGCAGTTCAAGGAAAAACCCAACTTGAAGTTTCCTCTATTTCAGTTGCGCATGGTGCTTATTAACTTATCATTAAATACTATACAGAATAGGTAGTTTTTTACTAAGATTATCCATTAAAATAACAAATAAGTTTCAAGACATTACTTAAATGGATTTAAGTAGTTTACTAAGTAAATAAACTTCAACGGAACCTCATATATAAACTTATGTATATATTTCATAGCTGTACGGTAAATGTACTATGTTCCACACTGACTAATTACGGACCAATCCTAATACCTATTACCAATGACTTTTGAACAACAAACAAGTTTAATTATTTTCCGATTTGCTCATATCAGTGTGCTAAACATTTGTTTGTATAACCAATTATATCTGATTTTGTGTTTTTAATGATGAATATAAAATGTTATGATGTAGTCATTTACATTCTATTCCGAGTAGTAGCGAACTGTAATGGATTTCTACATCTATAAGACTACAATACTGGGAACTCGTGCTCTATAAAGTATGACTTGAAAACACTCATTAACTTGTATTGAATAATACAGCGATTTATTTGAGAATACACTTGGAATAAATTTATTGAAAAGTTATTTATTCATGTCTCAAATACTCAGTCTTAAGCGTTTTCAAAACTGTGTAAAGTTATTTTTTATAAAACGTTGTTATAATTCAGTAGACAGCCTCCATAAGGGGTAACAGGAGTACGTAAATAAGGTTGATATAATGTTTATTGATTGATACTACAGTTTTGTCAAAATACCAACCATTTTCTACTTAGATCATGAAGAAGGAGTATAAGTATTACCTTCATATATATATATATATATATATATATATATATATATATATATACCGCAAACTGTCTGAAATAACACAAAAATCGATGTTCCAACCTAATGAATCGGATCTGTGATACTCTATATGGAATGTGAATATTCGTGATTGAATCCTATGTAAGATAGTGAATAGAATTTATTAAAATATCTCAAACTAATAAGAAAAAATTCACCAAATAGTTCTTTAGGTTTAAACCGTTTACTAACTACCAACATAATAAACTTAGAATACATACATACATATATAGGGACGTTTTAGTTTTCTCTTTAATTAATCCTAATAGATATTAGACCCTAATGTACTACTCCTTTATTTGTGGTTGATATACATTGATATGATACAACTAAACTAAACTTTAAATTTAATTTCTTAGAAAGAAAAAAAATTAATTAAACTAATTTAGTCGTTTAGCTTAAAGTTAAATTATAATCACAATAAAAATATGAGAGTATAGTGATTGTTTTCCTTTTTACTGGTTTTCTTTGTTGCTGTTGCTGTTGCTGTTGTTGATTGTTTCTCCCTTCTACTCAATATATGTTACAAATATAGAATATAGAAATACACAAAGAATATAGAACAGAAAAATCTACACTCTAGCATCATATATATGGATAACTTACTAAGACAAATGAGCAGTGCAATAAATGTGAAAGCCACCGATTTATTTATTCTGAACATCGTTAAATTCTGAAAAAATCTATAACGAAGTAAAAATAAAAATAATAATAATAATTGTTATTATTATTAGTGGCTTTATTCAATATTATATTTTGGTACAATATAGAAATTCTCAGCACAGGGTATTTCAACAAGTTCTTTACACACAAAAAACAGAAATAAAGACAAAAAAGGGTAAAAAGGTTTAAAAAATCTGAAAAACTGTACAACTTTTCAAATTAGAGATATGTTAAGAATGCAGGTTATTGACTAGGTTAACTCTAACAACCTGTTCGTCATAGAGTATATTTGCTAGGTAAGGTATTATAGACGTTTTATACTTTTGGTTGCGTGCATGGATTTTAATGTAATTACATCTCGTTCTACCAGAAGATATACCAGGAGAAAGATAAGAGTGAAGGGGATGGTTAGTATCTGATAAAATAACACCTGCCAGGAGTTTGCATGACTTTAGATGTCTATCCACAACCATATTAATTATGACCTCAAAGGATTCACCACACAACTTGCTAACTGCCTTCGGCACTCTCCGCAATACAACAAAGTCTTTTCTCAAAAGCCCGGGAAATAATAATGGAGAACAATAAAGAATAATAGGTAATATGCACGAATTGACAAATTGTATGAGCAAATGACGAGTAATCCTATGAGCATGCAATCTCTTTATGTAGTAAGTCAGACGAAAAACATTATTCGATAACAATAGAGCGTGAGAAGACCAAGAGAGATCAGAGGAAAAGGTAGCACCAAGATAATTGGCCTTCGACACTAATTATCAAAAAGTCTCCAATGGCACAAAGATTATGGGATCTCAAAATGGTGAAATAAACTTTCTTTTTTTATCAGGAAAAAGAAATAATCATTGATAACTACTATATTTTCATATTTTTATAGCCTTTACAGTCTAGTTTTTTTATGGGTTGTGATTTTTTTTGTCGTTGTTGTTATGTAAACAATTTTTTAATTGATTTAGTAATAATGACCTGTAAAGCAAAAAAAGCAAACAAACAAATAACCGACCGAATTTTATTGAATCATAAATTTTGATTCTGTAAAGATCATATGCTGATTGATATGTTCAAGGATGTTCCTATTTTTTTCGTCAGTAGGTCGTATTATCTGAATGTAATTTTGTCAATTGACAAACCGTTAAAAACTGGAGGACTAAGAAATAGATATATCGTGCTAGCGCGAAAAACCAGTAGGCCCTGGGTTTGAATCCCGCGGGGTACGGGATCGTGGATGCGCACTGCTTAGTCCCACACTAGGACGAAAAGGCCGTCCAGTGCTTCCAGGATTTCCATGGTGATCTAGCTTCAATTGACTCATGATTTTAACCTGTGAAATATCGTTTTAGTTTGAAAAACATTTTAGTAAATACAATATCTGACTACGTATATTCAAATCTCATATAGGTTAGAAAAATCTGAGGATTTCTGGCATTATCATTTTCATTCAATATCAATGGATAGAAAATTTACTAATACTGACTGGATTTATATTGTCCTTCAACTGAGAAATCATGAAGTTCAACAATTAGTGATTATATTATCACATTGTCAACAACTCAAAAGACTATGCTTTCACTGATAGTAATTTTCAGACTTCATCTGAAAAACAAATACTAACCAACGATCATTTGACAGTTATTTTGTAAGTCTGCGATTTATCGAGCTGCTGTGTATATAATTCTAATCCATTGCGACACGGATACAGGTTGCATATACTTTTCCTTACTTTTAGTAACGCATTAACAGAATTCCAAAAACTGCTTATCTTGTTAATCGACAAGGTAATTAATTTTTTTTAAATAGTGTTTTTCCTTTTATTATTTGTCAGTAACGGATATTACTGTTGATGATGTTGTGAAAAGGATGGACGCCAACCACCGAAAATCGAATGAATTACAATTCTTAATGAATTCTATGAACAGTAAGACCTCAGAAATCACAACAGCGGTTACTATTCAGTGATAATTCAGTTCAAATATCTTAGTTCTACAAACGTCGGAAAATTTTAAAGATAACTTTTTTAAATTTGGTGTCATCTAACGTTGGCTGAAACTTCAGTAGTGTATAAATTCTCTTAATCCAGGGAATTCATTTTGCTGGCTGGCACCAATCAGCACAAAATCTTGATCAAACAGGACGTCATGTCAATTGTCTCTAACAAAACACGATAGATATTTCATATAAATTCATATGATTTCTAAACTTGTGAAATATATATATATATATATATATATATATATATATATATATATATATATATATATATATATATATATATATATATATATATATAAGCATACAGCATAGAAGAATGCGATCATGCGTAAATCAAGACAAGTAAACAACACTATACATAGACAACACTGTTATTATTTCCTGCCTGATTAAATGTAGAAATGTTAATTTTGTTATTATACTATTATAGGCAAGTAAATAATTTTGTCATTAATTATTAATAGAATAAAATAACGACTTTGACCCTATATTCTACTCGTTTTTCAGTTCACAACTCATTTTTTATAACCACTTTGGAGTGTTTTTCTCGTAAGAAGTAGTCAGTTTTAAAATATATACACACTACAGATTAAAATTAAAACAAACGAACAATTATAAGCAAAGACGAATGTTGCCTAACAGTAGAATGCAGGAAGCGCGTTTCGTCCTATTTAGGATTCATCAGCTGGATATACCTGCACCCTAGTTGATGTTCGCCTCGGGGTTCGACCCCAGTACGTTTCGCCTCAAACACCATCGCGTTATCCATTTAACTACTGAATCCTGATAGCTACTAATTTGTGCAATACAAAAACAATACAAAATGAATTAAAACAAACAATTGTTTTAAAGTTTATTAATCTATCCATTTTGTAAAACAAAGCATATGTATGAATGGAGGTTTTCATGTTCTGGACTAGATCCATGATGAAAAATGTTATAGGACCGAAGTTACGTTGGTATCATTTATAGGTCATTAATATTATGACGAAAATAAATCATTTTCCACAAGAAAAAGAAAACCCTTTCTTCTAATTCTACTACTTTCATCTTCAAAAAACTTAGTAGTGCCGTCAGTAATAGTTAACTTGATTAGTTTAAATAACGATATTTTAGCATGTTACTCATTAGTATCTTATGTCTAATGGATTATTTGATATTAATGCATGATTAATGAATTGGTTAAGTTAGCGTATAATTCGCGGCGTAAGAGATGATACATAAAAAATTATTGCCAGATGATAAATGATATAATCTTACCATTCAAAGTATTTATTCTTAATAAACAGAATTAAGAATTTATAAATACCTGGGTCAAACTCCCTTAATGACTCCTTGTAAGCCAACTAAAAACAATCAAATTTAAACTACTAAAAATGATTTTTGAGTACCAAGGTTTCGAAAATACGTATCCTGTTGTTCAATTAAAATACTATTTAATTTCGTTCATTATATTTTCATAAACATTTCAGTGTAATATGTCTACTTCTAAGAGTACATTTAGTATATAGAACATGTGTTTATTGTGAGATTACATTGCTTACATAATGAGTGTACATAGTCTTTGATTATTGGTTTGCATCTTGTTGTGTGTTCTGCAACTTAAACTGACTTTTAGTCCAATCTTTAAATGTTCTCCCTATACTGTGCTTTTGATATACTGAAATCATTCTTTCTGTCTGATGACTGTGAAAGCTTCGAGGTCACGAACCACTTTATACTACTTACAAGCAATCGTACAAGTAGGATTCACCCCAATAGTACTTCATATGTTTCAAAGATAATATATAAATAAAATATTTATTAGTTGATACACACGGAAAAGTTTTGATATTTAGAGCGTTTGAGATTGTGTGATATGTCATGTTGCGATGGTTCTTACCCTAGTCGATACTACGATCAAACTACAAATAATCATAATGTCTTTTGATTAAAATGTTAACAGTATGAAGCGACAGAACGAAACTACATCATTTATTCTATGAATGGAATCTCAAAACTATTATATTAACGAATAATATGCACTGTGTACTAGTTATGCAACATTACCATGAATGTAAACGATTTGAATCAATGATAGAACAACCATTGTCAAGAGATTAATTATTGAAAAAAGAACATGTCGTAATCTAAATGTTACACGGTTTCAACACATGTTTTAAATTATCAATTGCTTAAGAGTCACTTGTTGGATTATATTTAAACTAGTTACGCAATGCAAAACTTAATTTATATCTTAAACTGTTAATTTTGGATGGGATAATCAGAATTCTTTAGTAAAATGTGAAAACCACACATTAAATACTTCATTTGCGAATCTTCCATTAAGTGTATCTTATAAGCTTCATCGTTCTTTCATTGATATTACAATTACCATCTGTTCGCATTCCTGTTTTCTTCAATTCGATCTTCTCAACCCTCTGTTATCATGCATTCCGAATTCGACTGATGTCATATACTACTTATATCTGTCAACATAAGTAGCATACATAATTAATTAACAACTGAAATTATATTTTCTCATCTAGGCGTCTTATTTAATGTCAAATTGTTAAATATAAAACTGAGATAGTCGGTTAAATGCTTAATAATATCATAATTAAATAAACTCTGTCCTTTTGTAATGGATGGTTTGGTGAGCTTTTTTTAACAAGTTAATATTCAGTTTATTCATTAGTAGACTTGTACTGATAAACCAGCGGGCAAATAAAAACGTGACTTGAAAGAAAACATACGATGTTTATCTGTGTAATCTAAGTTTGCGAAGATTTTTTTTAACATGAAAGGATCCTGTTTTTTTTTTAAATCTGGAGCAAAATTGTTATTTTAAAGTAAATAAATACTAAAGAAACTGTCGCATGCGTTTCCAGGAAAATCTTATTGATCAAACAATTGTAATACTAAGAAGTATAAGTAAATGAGTAAAGGTTACTTGATGATCTTTATAATAGTAGAATTATCAAATCAAACACCTGTTGACAAGCAAGGAAAACT